AGTTTCAGGGTAGAAGCTGTTCCTCAGTCTAATGGTTCTACACTTAATGCTCCTCGACCTCCTGCCTGAGGGGAGTGGGGCAAAAAGTGTGTGCTGGGTGAGCGGGGTTCTTCATCAACCAGGGTCTGGGGAATCAGGATGTTGAAGGCAGATGTGAAGTCCACAAAGAGCATACGGACGTAGGAGATAAACCTTTCTGACCATCAGTGTTGAATACAGTTCAGTGACAACTTTTTATGCTTCATCATTGGGAACAATTGTCTCCGTCTGGCAACCAGAGCAAGGGCAGAATGAACCACACAATACATTGTATTACTAACAGTACTGTAATAGTAATCCACATACACTAGTAAACACAAAACTCTGTCCTTACAGTGCTGTGACACAACAGCCAAGTCCAGAAGACACCCAAACATACTTGTGTCACCTTCTGTGTGTTGAACCAGCCTCACACCACTCAGACACTGTTGGGCTGTCGGCTCTGATTCATGTGTTCATAACTTACAGCTAGCGTCTCTGCAGTTCAGTCATGAATGGGGTGAAGTGATGAGCAACTCATCACTTCTGCTGGATCCATGAGGTTCCACCACAGAGATGCAGGATCCTGGTGCAGCTTCCTTCTTCACAGATTTGTTTAATTTCTTCTGAGGCGTCATGCAAAACGACTGACTGGGGGTGCAGAGCTGCCTTTTACTGGTGTCTTCTGATTTAACATCAGCAGTCATTCAGCAGTCATTCAGCACTTTCACAGAAAATGTAATTTCTGTAGTTTGACTGGAAATTCTGTTGGAACAGCCTTAAAAAGAAATTATGTAAACCTTAAACTTGAGGTTGGTTTATACCCTGAACTGAATATTGTTTCATTCACTTGCTTTAACTTTAAACTAGTTAGTCATTTGATCCAGTTTTACCTTTAAACTCACAGCTAGCTGCCTGTTTGATGATCGAGGCTGAGAAGTATAATCAGTTCCTTGAAAAAGTTCAGGGCTTCACTCGATCTTGTAGACTTTTATGATGCTGCTGAATGTTTTTCCGCTGTCAGAAGAAACCATTTCACACTGAACAACCACATCAAGCATTAGCAGAAATGCAGCTGTATCAGCAATGACCCAAGTGCTGATGAATCTGAGGGTTTCATCCACCAGCTCATCCTCTTATTGCTCAGCTTTATTTTATTTGATCTTTACCTCGTGTCTCAAATTGGTATTTACCGTATTTTCCGCCGTATGCATTGCACTGCCCTATAAGTCTCATCAGTCCAAATATTTAATAAAGTGGAAAAATTCATAAATACGTCGCTTCGCCGTATAAGTTGCATCATATTATGTGTTACCGCAGATGCGTCGCGTTTGTTACGCGTAACCACTGACAACCTGGGCCGGTGTGCCAAAAATTGATTGGCTGCCAAATGGCGGCTGCGGGAGCATGCACGGGACGACTTTAATAATTATTTACCAAGATTAACACTTAAAAACAATTATTTGTTTGCTCGACATTATAGTAAAGGTGTGTCTCAGTCTAACTTTTCCTTAATAAATGCACTTTAATGGTTAAATCAGCTGCATTTCAGGTGGATATCCGCAGGCACAGACCCACCTCACTGACCTCGGTGAACATCCAGGGAGTGGACATCGAGATCGTGGACTCATAAGTACAAACCGGATTCCAAAAAAGTTGGGAAACTAAACAAATTGGGAATAAAAACTGAATGCAATGATGTGGAGATGGCAAATGTCAATATTTTATTCGTAATATAACATAGATGACAGATCAAAAGTTTAATCTGGGTAAATGTAACATTTTAAAGGAAAAATATGTTGATTCAAATATCCTGATGCATGCTCAATAATCCAGGTAGAAAAATCTAAAAAAGTTAAATCTGGTCCTCTGGACATTCAAAAAAACAAAACAAAGCAAAACAACAAAAAAATGAAGAAACGTTTCGTCTCTCATCCGAGAGACTTCCTCAGTCTGAGGTGCTGTATTCAGCTCAGTCTCTTAAATAGCACCTTCGCAGAGTGGATCAACCAGTTTTGCTGCTGACAACCAAAACCAGCTGATCACATGCTCAAGGACCATCAGCCTAACAATGGATCATTAGCACACTGATGGCTGTTTACTATTCAGAGGGCTGAGTGATACTAGCAATCACAGCATTGTAAGAGGGGGACAATTGAACACGTAGGCCTCCACCCGTTTAACGATGGACGGTTTCTTTTCACAAAGATGGCCTCCTTTACTCCTCTCTCAAACCATCGTTCCTCTCTATCCAGGATGTGCACATCTTCATCCCTGAAAGAGTGACCGCTGGCCTGGAGATGAGTGTAGACCGCAGAGTCCTGGCCTGATGATGTTGATCTTCTGTGATGGGCCATCCTTTTGGCCAGTGGCTGTTTCAATGTGGATATCCTAACTGGGCCTTCCTAAAAGCAGAGAAGAAACCCAAACAGGACTCCAGTCAGCCAACAGGTGAAAAGGAGGAACCCAGACCAGTGGTCATTCCATATGTTGAGGGAGTATCAGAGAAACTGAGACGTTTATTTTCTAAACATAACATCACAGTGGCTTTTAAACCCCAAAATACATTACGGAAAAGACTGGTTCATCCCAAAGATCCAGTCCCCCGGCACAAACAGAGTAATGTTGTGTATGCTGTTCAGTGTCAGGAGGGCTGTGATCAGTCTTACATCGGGGAAACAAAACAGCCACTGGCCAAAAGGATGGCCCAGCACAGAAGATCAACATCATCAGGCCAGGACTCTGCAGTCTACACTCATCTCCAGGCCAGCAGTCACTCTTTCAGGGATGAAGATGTTCACATCCTGGACAGAGAGGAACGATGGTTTGAGAGAGGAGTAAAGGAGGCCATCTTTGTGAAAAGAAACCGTCCATCGTTAAACAGGGGTGGAGGCCTACGTGTTCAATTGTCCCCCTCTTACAATGCTGTGATTGCTAGTATCACTCAGCCCTCTGTGAATAGTAAACAGCCATCAGTGTGCTAATGATCCATTGTTAGGCTGATGGTCCTTCTTGAGCATGTGATCAGCTGGTTTTGGTTGTCAGCAGCAAAACTGGTTGATCCACTCTGAGAAGGTGCTATTTAAGAGACTGAGCTGAATACAGCAACTCAGACTGAGGAAGTCTCTTGGATGAGAGACGAAACGTTTCTACATTTTTTTGTTGTTTTGCTTTGTTTTGTTTTTTTGAATGTCCAGAGGACCAGATTTAACTTTTTTAAATGTTGATTCAAAATTTCAGTGTCAACAAATCCCAAAAAAGTTGGGACAAGTAGCAATAAGTAGCTGGCAAAAGGAAATTGAGGATAATGAACAGCTGGAAGACCAATTAACACTAATTAGGTCAATTGACAACATGATTGGGTATAAAAGAGCTTCTCAGAGTGTCAGTGTCTCTCAGAAGCCAAGATGGTAAGAGGATCACCAATTCCACCATTGTTGTGCAGAAAGATAGTGTAACAATACCAGAATGGTGTTACCCAGCGTAAAATAGCAAAGACTTTTAAGTTATCATCATCAACCGTGCATAACATCATCAAAAGATTCAGAGAATCTGGAACAATCGCTGTGCGTAAGGGTCAAGGCCGTAAAACTCTACTGGATGCTCGTGATCTCCGGCCCCTTAAACGTCACTGCACCTCAAACAGGAATGCCACTGTCAAGGAAATAACAGAATGGGCTCAGGAATACTTCCAGAAAGCATTGTCAGTGAACACAATCCACCTTGCCATCCGCCGTTGCCAGCTGAAACTCTACAGTGCAAAGAGGAAGCCATTTCTAAGCAAGCTCCACAAGCTCAGACGTTTGCACTGGGCCAGGGGTCATTTAAAATGGAGTGTGGCAAAATGGAAGACTGTTCTGTGGTCAGATGAGTCACGATTTGAAGTTCTTTATGGAACACTGGGACGCCATGTCATCCGGACCAGAGAGGACAAGGATAGCCCAAGTTGTTATCAACGCTCCGTTCAGAAGCCTGCATCACTGATGGTATGGGGTTGCATGAGCGCTTGTGGCATGGGCAGCTTGCATGTCTGGAAAGGCAACATTAATGCAGAGAAATATGTTCAGGTTCTAGAACAACATATGCTTCCATCTAGACGTCATCTCTTTCAGGGAAGACCCTGCATTTTTCAACACAATAATGCCAGACCACATTCTGCAGCAATCACAACATCATGGCTACGTAGGAGAAGGATCCGAGTACTGAAATGGCCAGCCTGCAGTCCAGATCTTGCACCTATAGAGAACATTTGGCGCATCATAAAGAGGAAGGTGCGACAAAGAAGGCCCAAGACGATTGAACAGTTAGAGGCCTGTATTAGACATGAATGGGAGCATTCCTATTTCTAAACTTGAGAAACTGGTCTTCTCTGTCCCCAGACGTCTGTTGAGTGTTGTAAGAAGAAGAGGGGATGCCACACAGTGGTAAAAATGGACTTGTCCCAATTTTTTGGGATTTGTTGACGCCATGAAATTTGGAAACAACAGATTTTTCCCTTAAAATTATACATTCTCTCAGTTTAAACTTTTGATCTGTGATTTGTGTTCTATTCTGAATAAAATATTAGATGTTGGCACCTCCACATCATTGCATTCAGTTTTTATTCGCAATTTGTTTAGTGTTCCAACTTTTTTGGAATTTGGTTTGTACCTGGGTGTTCCCCTGAACAATAAACTGGACTGGTCTCAACACTGATGCACTTTACAGGAAGGGTCAGAGCAGCCTCTACCTGCTGAGGAGACTGAGGTTTTTTGGAGTGCAGGGGGTGCTCCTGAAGACCTTCTTTGACTCGATAGTGGCATCAGCCATCTTCTATGGTGTTGTGTGTTGGAGCAGCAGCTTATCATCATCTGAGAAGAAGAAGCTAGATAAGCTCATCAAGAAGGCCAGCTCTGTGCTTGGATGCCCCCTCGACCAAGTGCAGGTGGTGGGAGATAGAAGGACTCTAGCTAAAATAACATCATTGCTGGACAACATCTCCCACCCTGTGCATGAAGCTGTTGCTGAACTGGACAGCTCGCTCAGTGACAGATTACTGCATCCTAAATGCACAAAGGAGCGTTACCGCAGGTCCTTCCTCCCAGCAGCTGTTAGACTCTACAACCACCACTGCTCCCAACAAACTCAATAAGGATTAAATACATGCTGACCTCTGCTGAAACACACTCTGCCTATAATACTGTATTGTAAATAGTCTGTCCTTATCAATGTTCAAACACATATTGAAAATTATTGATATTGTTTATCTTATTTCTTTATATATTGTATTGTTTATTAACATTTAGGAACTTTTGTGTGAAATATTTTTATCTTTTTATCCGTTGCTGCTGTTACACTTGAATTTCCCATCCGTGGGACAATAAAGGCTGTTTCTATTCTATTCTATTTCAAAAGATGATAAGTGGAAGCATGAACGTGCAGAGGGCGACTCACTGTGCATTTCTTAGAAATTTAACAAGATAACCACCTAAAAACAATTATTTGTTTGCTCGACTTTATAGTAAAGGTGTGTCTCAGTTGAACTTTTACTTAATAAATGCACTTCAATGGTCAAATCAGCTGCATTTCTCTGGGGCGGAGCAGCGAAATGAAGCTAATTTGACGGTTGCTGCAGGCAGATGACGGTGACAGACTATAGCAAGCCAATTGTGTCATTAATAGCCACATTTACCCATTACATTATATAATTGCATGACATACTACTTGACTGCCATCTAGCGGCTGAAAATGGTAGTGTTCAATATTTTCAGTCAGAATAAATGAAAAACGGTCATATCTCAGCCAACAATTGGCTTATAAATATGGGGAAAAATCCATAAATACATCGTTTTGGCATATAATGCAAGTTATGCAATAAAACGTGACTTATAGCTGAAAAATTTGTTACAAAAAAACATAAGAGGGCAAGGGTTGATGCAAAATCTTCTGGAAAAAAATCTTTGTAACTGAGTGACAAAACTGGATTCTACTGACTAAAGGATGTCAGTTTACTGTGACGTGAGGTGAAGTTCTTACAGCTCTCCTATGTTTGACACGTTTACAATGTTTGTTTTAGTTCAACACATTCTGTGAAGTTTACGGTCAACTCTCTGACAAACCTCCACTTTGTTTCAGATCAGGATGTAGTTGTTGGCAGGAGAACACAGGAGGTTCCCATTACAGTTTATTTTTGTACAGGCACCCTGAGATGACTTTTAATGGGAATGAAGTTGAATATAAACAAAGAGCACAAGAGAGAAAAGAGAACATCTCCAACTGTGAGCAAAACTGCCGAAATCAATAAAGTTAACACCTACTTCTTCTACTTGACCCATTCTCTCTTTGTAACCAAATATTAAACCAGCATTCTTTGAAGAAATGCATAAAAACACATCAGATACTTCAACACATGTCTTTCTTGGCATTTGGTGATGAATATGCTGGGTCACTGTACATTCAACCTTTGGGTGTGCACCTGAATGACAACCTCAGCTGAGGCAACACTACGAGCCTGATCAAGAAAGTTCATCATACCATACCATACCAATTTATTTATAAAGCACTTTAAACAGTGACAAAGCACACCAAAGTGCTGTACAGGGACAAACAGAACAAGCACATAGCAACAGATTACATAACAGGACACCAAAAAGTAGAAACCGACAAAAACAATAATGGATAACAACAACAACCGCAACATGACTAACACAGTGTGATACACACAGACTCAGCACAGATCACACAGTGCAGAAAGCCAGGGAATAGAAGTGTGTTTTTAAGCGAGATTTAAAAACTGTGAGGGAGGGGGCCTGTCTAACCAGCAGAGGTAACTCATTCCAAAGTCTTGGGCCTGCTACAGAGAAGGCCCTGTCACCTCTGCACTTGAGACGGGTTCCTGGGACTGTTAGGAGTGATATAGGAATGATTATTTTGATGCTTTTATGTCAATTAATACTTATACTCACTTTTGATACAGCTTATCTGCCCAAAGTCAGGCCTGTGCTGCAGATGTGTTTTGGAGTAATTAAAGTCCTCTGGGGGATGCTCTAACCAGAAGACCTGGCCCATCTTAAAGGTTAAGGTGACCCAGGTTTTGAAGGACATGTTTTTATGAAGCCATCGCTCTGTTGCACAGACTGCTTTGATGATGGAAAAACAGATTTTAATTAAATCTGTCCTCCTGGCAACCATCAAACTTGTTTTTCACTGCTCTCACGCGATCCGGTCAGGGAAAAGGTATAAAGGAGGTGTGACAGGCAAGGGAATTTTGGAAGTCTTGTGTGGACCAGCGCGCGGTGCCATGCAGTTGTTGATGTGAGTTCTGTCATTTGGATCGAAAGGCTTCCCGATCATTTGTCACGGTGAGAGATACTCATATCAATTTGTGTGTTAAGAGTGTACCAACTGTACATGACTTTGCTTGGCTGTTTTCTTGTGGCAGATTAATAAATGACAAATATTATTCTAGCAAGTTACAGTCTCTGTGTTTTATTTTTCCTCTTGTCTGAATATCTGGTGCCGACCGTTCACGAACCCTTTGATAAAGAATTTCATAATACAAGGAGCAACTGGTCTGCTGATCTGAGAGAACTCTACTTCCTCAGGCGGCTGAGACGAGCTGGTCTGAGAAGCTCAGTCCTCACCTCCTTCTACAGGTGTGCAGTGGAGAGCATCCTGTGCTCCAGCATCAACGAGTGGCGTGGTGGCTGCACAGCTGCAGAAAGAAAAGCTTTGCAGAGAGTGGTGAAGGCTGCACAGAAGACTGTTGGAGTCAGTCTCCCCACCATCACAGACATCTACACCTCCAGATGCAGGAAGAGGGCCACCTGCATCATGAAGGATCCCAATCACCCAGCATACACACTTTTTGCCCTGTTCCCCTCAGGAAGGAGGTTGAGGAGCATTAAGTGTAGAACCACTAGACTGAGGAACAGCTTCTACCCTGAGGCTGTTAGACTCATGAATCTCTAACCAGGAGAATCACTGTGAAAAATCGCATAATGTTGCTGCTGATCTGTTTCATGTTGCTGTGTTCATTCGTGCTCATCGTGTAACTGGGGTGTAACTGTGACCCTGTGTACACAATCTCGTTCCACCACATGTACCACATGTGATGCGAATGACAAATAAATCTCGGACTCTGATGTTCGTGCTGCTGTTAGATGTATAGTGTTTACCGTTTCTATGCAACTAGTGCTTAGTGTGTTTTTAGTTCAAATTTTTCTTAGTTCATATCTTAGATCTTATTACTGTTTTTCTATTACATTTGAATACTTTTGTTGGATGTAACTGGGACTCTGTGTACACAATTTCATTTCATCACATGTACCACATGTGGTGGAAAGACCAATAAAGAATCTTGAATTAACCTACAGGTCTAAACAGATTTTACAAGCCAAGTTCATAACGAATGAAAAATCCACACACTGTTTAAGCATCTTTTGATCCATTTTCTCTTAAAAATAAGTGTAATATGTTGTGTATTGTTCAGCAAAGAGTCTCTGTATGTAACTTAGTCCTACAAAAACCTTTTTTAAATTAAGTCACAAAACTTATAAGTGATTTAAATTTTTACATAACTTTATGCTCAATTTGAACTCAAAAATGTACTCTGACTTAAAGTTGGTCCAAAATTACCTAAGATGTAGAAAAAATAATTTTTTTCCATTATTCAATAGCTGATGTTGATAAAACTGAACTAACGCATAAATATGACACTAATCTTTAGAAAACTTGTGCAGAAACAATAAAAAAATATAGTTGTTAATATTCTCATTGTGCTGCCGCTCCGTTTTCTTTTCAGTCACAGCTCAGCTCACACTGATGAGAAACAGTTCATTCACCTTAAGAAAATAAAGAGCTACATTTTACAGAGTTGTTTAGCCAACTTCAAAACGGCTTTTAAAGCCCTGATTAAAAAACACGACGTCTCTTCTTCAGCTTCTTACTCGGGCTGTGATGGTCCCATGCTTCTCTCCTTTGTTGTTGATCATCCTGATTCCAGCGCTTTGGAACATCTGCTTCATCTCCTCTGGAGTGGCTGTGGTGGCAAAGTCCACATCATCAGGACGCTTCCCAGACAGCAGGTCCCGCACAGCACCCCCGGCAATCCGCAGCTCATACTGGTGCTTCTCAAACACCTCTAGGTGAAAAACAAAAATACTACAATGAAGTCTTGAAGTAGTCAAATGTTTTTTATTTTACTTATTTCTAGAAGATATTTTAGTAAAAACTGAATAAGGTATTAAGCTGTGAATTATGCCTTTACCTGAAGGATAATATTTATATTAGAAAAAAAAAGTATTAAGTACATTGGGCAGCACAGTGTCGCAGTTGGTAGAGCTGCTGCCTTCTCAACAAGAAGGTATTATTGTTAACTGGGAACTCTAAATAGTCCCCAAGTGAGAGTATGAATGGTTGTTTGTCTCGTTTGTCTCTTTTGTCCCAAAAGGGAAGAAGCAGGTAAAGATAATGGATGGATGGATGGATAAAGTGCAATTTTTTGGATGGTCAAATATAACTGGGAAATATTATTTTTGTTTTTTTACCAATAGATCAGTCTAAAGATTTGAAGTATTTTTGCTTTTTGAAGCAGTTGTTTTTCTCCCACAACATGAAGCAGGTTACAGAAACTAAACCAGTACATCAGTGCCAAGGAATACAGGAAACTTTATTTCACTAATAAAAACTAAGAGTAAAAACTAAACATCCCAGTATACCTGGATTATGGAGCATGGACTTTGTTAGTAAAAACTACACTTGCAGGGGAATAGGAAATTCATTTATCACCTTTTTTAATATTAGTTTTTTTTTTCCTGCAGCATTTTGTTTCTTTTCTGTTTTTCAGAATGTAATATTTTAAGGGTGCATTCACACTAGTCCTGTTTAGTCCGCTTTAATCGAACTCTAGCTCGTCTTCCTAGAAAGTCCGGTTCATTTAGGGAGGTGTGAACGCACCATTGAACTCTGTAATGGAACAAAAAGGCGAACTCTGGCCCGGGCTAAAACCTAGGTCTCGGTCCCGTAGAAGCGAACTCCAGCACGGTTCGAGTACGGTGTGAATGTAAACAGACCGAGCCCCGCTCCGCAGGGTAAACAAACACGCATTTCTCTGACCTTATATGGAGCCGTCAGCTGCCTTGTGTGGAAAAACAATATTCTCCATGGTCTTCTGTCTCATCTTCTGCTCAGGCTAAGTCCATTTTTGAAAAATGACAAAATATAACTCCTAAAACTGCTAAAACTTGATGCCACTTCGTTTTTATTTTTATTTACAGAAGAAGAAGTGTCTTCAGAGGTTTTTGTGTCGTTTCTTTCAGTAGTTCTTTGTGCAGCGCCCCCACAGGAGAGTGGGGAAATAGGTTGGTTCTACAGGTTGACTCGACTGCACAGTGCAGTGTGAATGCAAACGCACCAGCTCAAATGTAAACAAAAGGTTATGAATATTGGTCCCGAACCGAACCGAGTCTACCGGACTATCTGGTGTGAAAACGACCTAAGACGCAACAATAATTGTTTAGAATATTAAAACCAGAACAATTTACATTTGGAGGGAAAAACAAACTACGAAAATATCCAAACAAATTTGTGAGCACAGCAACATTAAAATCTGGATGTCCAAAAGACAACTGAATTAGTTGAGGACGAGGAATGGACACCTCTGTAAAATATCTTCATAGCAGGACCAACAAACAAACAGCCACCTGCTGCAGTTTTACTTCTGCATCTCTTTTTTACAACTCCAGTGCAACATGACCAATCTAAACTTGAGAAAGACCGTTGTAGTAACACCATGAGATTGAAAACAAACATTTGAAAGGCAAACCAGGCTGCACAACTAGTGCTAAAAAATATCACAACCTCCATTATAGCTTGTTTTGTTAAAATGAGGTCTTGTTGAGCTTTTTTTAGCAGCTGCCATAATTAGATAACTCAAAAAGACCTAAAAAAAAAGTTAAGTCTGGTCCTCTGGACATTCAAAAAAACGAAACAAAGTAAAACAAAAATTAAAAGTAGAAATGTTTTGTCTTTCATCCGAAAGACTTCCTCAGTCTGAAGTGCTGTATTCAGCTCAGTCTTATAAATAGCACCTTCTCAGAGTGGATCAACCAGTTTGCTGCTGACAACCAAAACCAGCTGCTCACATGATCAAGGAGGACCATCAGCCTAACAATGGATCATTAGCACACTGATGGTCGCTTGCTATTCACAGAGGGCTGAGTGATACTAGCAATCACAGCATTGTAAGAAGGGGACAGTTGAACCCAGAGGCCTCCACCCCTGTTTAATGATGGACGATTTCTTTTCACAAAGATGGCCTCCTTTACTCCACTCTCAAACCATCATTCCTCTCTGTCCAGGATGTGAACATCTTCAACCCTGAAAGAGTGACCGCTGGCCTGGAGATGAGTGTAGACCACAGAGTCCTGGCCTGATAATGTTGATCTTCTGTGCTGGGCCATCCTTTTGGCCAGTGGCTGTTTAGTTTCCCCGATGTAAGACTGATCACAGCCCTCCTGACACTGAACATCATACACAATATTACTCTGTTTGTGCCGGGGGACTGGATCTTTGGGATGAACCAGTCTTTGCCGTAATGTATTTTAGGGTTTAAGGTCGTTTTCACACTAGATAGTCCGGTAGACTCGGTTCGGGACCAATATTCATGAGCTTTTGTTTACATTTGAGCTGGTGACTTTGCATTCACACTGCACTGTGCAGTCGAGTCAACCTGTTCGAACCAACCTGTTCCCCCGCTCGCCTGTGCACCAAGAACTACTGAAACAACGAGAAAACCTCAGAAGAAGACACTTCTTCTTCTTCTGTAAACAAAAACAAGAATGGAGTGGCGTCAAATTTTAGCGGTATTAGGTTTTATGTATTGTCTGTGGCACATGTGCCAAACAAACATTTTTCAACAATGGAGTCTGCATGAGCGAAAGATTAGGCAGAAGACCATGGTGAGAGTTGTTTGTCAAGCAAGGCGGGTGAGACAGCATCGTATGAGGCAGTGTGCACCGAGAAGGAGAGCATCCAGGTTCATAGCCGACTCGGAGGCTCGGGTTCCGGATACCAGCCTTGTGTGCTCAGAGCTCCGCTGGTCACTGCAAAGCTGGAGATGGGGACTCGCAGATGGACGTTGCCAGACCCCGGCCGCGCGTAATCATAAAGGCTGAATCCCGATCCCACCCAGCAGTCAGGCGGACGGTGGAAGCGATTTTTAAATAAAATAATATTTTGTTTTTATACAAAAAATGTTTTAAAAAATTGCTGAAGCGATTTAAAAATGATTATTATTTTTTTTACACGTAAAAAGTTTTTTTAAATCGCTTCCACCATTCGTCGCAGACCAGTCTCTGTCCGCCTGTCTGCGCGGGTCGGGCCTTCATGATTACGTGCGGCTGGGGTCTTGGAACAGCCTCTGGAGTCACCAGCTGAGCTGGAGCTTGGAAGATGAGCCTGCCCGTCCTGTCTCCGGAGGAGAGGATCGTCATAAAAAAAAATAATTATATATATATATTTTAGCGTTGAAGATAAAAAAAAATAAATAAATAAACGGTGCCAGCTTCATCATGAAATCCTGTTTTCACTTTAATGACTGTTAACTCAGCTGAAAATCATTAAAAGACACAAAACTATTGGATCTCAGAAATATTTCCCTCAAACATGTTTAAAGAAAAGAGACGACCTTCAGTTCAACTTTGTTTTAACTCACAAATGTACAAATCACAAAACAAGAACTTTAAAGCAAAGCTAAAAATAAAATGTATATATGTGAACAAGAAAGGAAACCACACATTTAAAATGAACATTAAAAGTAGACACAATGAGTGCAAATACATCAAATGATGATGAAAACCTATAAAAATTTAAATGTAATGTTTTTGTAGAATCTGGTTCATCAGAGTTTTAATTTATACACACATATATATATATTTATATCTATAAATATATATAGATAAATATATATGTATATATATAAATACATAT